GTATGTATGTATGTATGTATGTATGTATGTATGTATGTATGTATGTATGTATGTATGTATGTATGTATGTATATCTTGTTGCACCCCTAATATATATTAGGGGAGCAGCAAGATTTCATGTGTTGGGGGAGTACTCTATATGAACAAGTGGAATGGATTGGATAATGATGCACCAAAGAGGATCCCTATCTTACACTATAAATTAAAGGGAAACTGACAGATTTATGATCATATATTTTAGTTAATAATGAAATATTAAATAGTTATTTATTCTGACCACATCATATAGAATTTTTGCAAAAAAATATTAAATTAAATAAAAAAATGTTTTACACCAAAATAATTTAGGGGAGCTCCAGCCCCCCCTAAAATAAACCCAGTGACGCCACTGGTGTCCATCAGTAACTAACCTGTGTGTTTTCTTCTTCATCACTGCAGGGTTACTCCACCCTGCCTGGCTATGGGAACGGTAAGGAGGCGGTGAGACCCATCACCATCTGGAAAGGGAACTCTTACACCACCATCTCTGCCAGGGACCCAGCCTTCAGTGGCAAAGACAGCGGCAAGGGGGACAGTGACTTCAACGACAGTGACAGTGATGTCAGCGGAGACGCTGGTGTGAAGAAGGATGGAGCTGTGGCTCCTCCAGTGGGGGTCCAAAATGGTAAGAAGGAGGGATGCTCAATACTGATACCAAGTAAAATTGGGCTGATATCGATACTGTTCCGATACTGATACTTTGTGATAACACATAATGTGTCTGGTAAATCTTAAAAAGTAGCGTTTTTCAAATAACCGCTTTATTAATAATACACGACAGAGTAATTTATTTAATTTAGTCTTTCTAACACTAACATGTTTGTTTAGCACAATTTAAAATTCTTATACTAAAGAAATATAATAATTTTTAAACAGTGAATAAAAGTGAGAAAGTATTGTAAAAGTTGTTATTTTGTATATTTTGTAGCATTGTTTAGGGGTTTTCAAAAGGGTCCATGGCCAGAGCTAATGCTGTTTGGGGGGCCAGGGCATGAAAAAGTTTGGAAACCCCTCATCTAGAATTTAATTACAGTCAACTGAAGCAGATTTTAATGTCAAAATGACCTGCCGTACATCTAGACTGAGTGACTGACTGGGCACCTGCCACTGCTTGTGTACTACTCAAGTGGAAGAAAAGTAGTTCCTCCAACCACATATGATTAAGACAAGATGTGAATATAGTTATTTTCCACTATTGTCCTGTTAATGATATAACTGAAGTATCAAAGTATCTATATTTTGATTTTAGTATCGATTCTAGAACATAAAGTTCTGGTATCGGGAGTATCGATATTTCAGTATTGATCTGCACCTCACTACTAAGAAGAGAGAAATCAAATAAACCAAACTGTGTTTATGACTTGAAAGTAACTGTTGCACTTTTTGTTTCAGCGCTGTGGGCCTGCACCAGTGAATGTAAAGTCCTGGGTCACTCGGATAGATGCTGGAGCCCCACAGCCACCAGAGCCAACGCAGCCCCCTCCCCAGCGCCCACCACCATGTCCTCCTTCAGCACCCTGCCCAAAACGGCCTCACTGCCCCGGGACCCTCACCGCAGGGAGAACTACTACCAGGCCCACATCCCCAAAACAGTGGGGCTGCAGAGCGTGTACGAGAAGGTGCTGCACAGGGAGTACGACTACGTGCTGGTCACCCCGCCCAGGCCGGTGAGGGTGCAGGAGACCAGTGACGTGGCCATCCCTGTTTACACCCCCACCCCAACGCACTGTCCCAATAATGACGTTTAAAACAACGAGCAGACTTCACAAACACTCTCAGACTTTTAATTTATGATTCTTGAAAATATGAGAGCGATGAGACTCTTTGAAGCCATGTGTCGTGAGAAGTGTGTACACATACTGTATTTGTCTTTCTGTTTCCACCCGAGCCACATTTAAAGGCACTCATTGTAAACTTTTAAATCAAACACTTAAAAAAAGCTTATCTTGAGCTATATCAAACAGTGGGGTTTGAACAAATTTACACCAGCAGTTTTCCACATATATTGGTAGGCAATTCTGAAATGATGGTATGCAATCAATGTAAACAAAACACTCAACACAAATTTAATCATACGTACTAATATGCCAAAATTGTTGAACTTCTTGTTCCCAAACATCATATTTGTTGAACTGTTTCCAGTCACTTCAGCAAATTTTACTTACAAAGTTTTAACAACAACACATTTACCTAAAAGAAGCTTATTAATTAGTTTTTACTTCTTTTCAAATTCTTTTCATTCACTTTGAAACATTTGTTGAACATGAAGTGTATCATAATATGCAAGAATTGTACATAAAGAGAATATATTTTTATATATACTTAAAAAATAATTGGGCAAAAAATGTGTAAATATATGTAATTATAGATCTTTAAGCATGCTTACTATTTAAAACAGCCCCAACTGTTCGGGGTTGAGGGCGAGGGACCCAAAATGTATCAAGTTGATAACAATGTATGGAAATATTTGAATGCAATAATGATTCATTGTACAGACTTTTTTTAAAATCCTGGCGATGTTCTAAAGGAAAATAAACTGAACTGAACTATTATTGTGGACTGGAGTGAGTTTTTACCGAAGGATGCTGTAGGACGTGAGGAGCGTCAATCAGACTGAAACAAGCCGATAGGGGTCGCTGTTACTGCAGTCTGACTGAACCTCCGTCCTTGCAGCCCGCTGAGGAAGGTCAGTTAAGTCCCCCCCCCCCCCTCCTCTCTGCGAGTTTGCTGGTCAGATGCCAAAACAGACTCCAAGGTTTCTGAGCAGTTCACCTCCCTCCCTCCTCATCATTTCACACTCGTCCACAAGCCGCCTCAGTGGTTCCACGGAATTTACTGCATGTATTTGCATAAAGGATTTCAGGATATGTTTCGGCTTTTTGTGCCATAAATAATTTAAAGATGAGATTCTGTGCGTAAAAGACGCATTTACTGCTTGTAACCTCTCCAAACCTGTATGGAAGACTGCGCGTGTAATGTTGCTGTTTATTATTATTATTATTATTATTATTATTATTATTATTATTAAAGGCAATCTTTCTGTGATCTTGTCAGGACGCCTTTTTGTCAGATTGCCAAATGCGCACCGTGCGTCCCTTACGTAATTCCCTCATTATCATTCATGAATGCAATTTTTTTATATACTGTATCTCTGTAGCAGCGCCTGCTTTGGACGCAGAGGAGAATGTGTTGCCTAAAGGGTTGAAATCTGCCCAACAAGCAGGCAACGTTTTTGGCGCAGTGCCATACGCACATGCTGTGCGACATTCCGCTACCTTTGACCTGAAATCTGAGGGGGAAGAAACGGAGGGGAGGGGAGCGCACAAGGTGGGAGGAGTGTCCTCCCTCCCTCCACCATAATCGCTGAACAGGTTCTGATCTAGCCTCTGAGGTTGTGATAAACCTTAATGACATGAAGGATCAGAGCAGTATCAAACTCATGTACTGTCTGTTCCATGAGCAGCAGCCTGTAGCAGCTTCAAAAGGGAGAAAAAAATCATTAATGATTTTCTGAAAGAAAAGCAGAAAACTTCAGAGTCACATCAGTGCTTTCTTCATCACCGGTTTCTTTTAGTCCAAGTTAGAAAAGTTAAAAAAGGCACTTTTTTTCTTTTTCTTTTTTTTTGCTGGAGAAGAAATAAGAGTTTGACTGAAAAGTGCCCTTCCTCCACCCTCATCCTCCTCCTCTCCTGGGAGAGAGAGAGTGAGGGTGAGTGATGGAGGGCGGGGGAGTCAGTGGATTGGGGTTTCCTCAGGTATTTGTCTGTTTGGCTTCAGTCATGGCCGAGAGCTCAGAGAAAGTGCCCATTGCATCTGCGGGACCAGAGGACCTGCAGCACTTCATGCCTCCGGTGAGTCGACCGTATGGACCTGTCTGGGCGTCAGTTAGAGACAAAACATTTCAAACTGGGATGTTCTATACTGTCACTTTAACTGCCACTAACACGTCAGCCTTTTGTCTTGAAGTGAATCAGAATGAATCCTGGTCCTGATGCTGTGTTTGTGGGGGGACCGGTGTGTTTTATAGGCCTACTCCACCGTGGCGGTGAAACCCACCACCACCAGCCGCCTCCTGAAGGCCGGGGTCGCTGTGCTGGTAGCCGGAGCGCTCCTGTTACTGCTGGGGGCCGTTGGGGCTTTCTATTTCTGGAACAACAACGAAAAACACGTAAGAGTGGCATTTCACTTGTTCCCCACTTTCTCAAACATTCTCCCTTTCTGTGCAAGAGGAAGCTTACACTGTAAAATACCAACTTTAACAAGTGGGGAAAAAAACAGCCTATAGGGAGGAGGGAGGGAGAAAGTATGTTTGATGAGACTTTTTTTTTTGTTTTTGTTTAGCTGAGAGACAGAAAAAAAGTACATTTTCTGTATATTGTACATTAGGGTGCACTTTAATATATAGTTCTGTGCTCCAGGATGAAAATGGGTTATAAATCAACCCGGACTAACCTTTGCAGAACTGTAAAGTAAAAAAAAAAACTAACCCAACTTCGTTTTTTATGTTTTTTCTAAAATAAGTTTAATAAAACAGCTTTTAGACTAAAATATGGTGGCAGATTGTTGCAACTTGTCTAAATCCAAGCAGATTTATTTATTTATTTACTTTGTTTGAGCAAACAGAAAAGTGAAAACCAAGATGCTTCTTTTCTACAGTGTAAGGCACAGTTTGATGAATGGAGCCGTTGTGCTGCAGGTGGTGTGTGCTCTAGCATTACTGGAAGGTTGGAGGGAGGTACAGGAAGGTGGGGGTAGAGGGGGGCCCTCTTTGGTCCGGCTGATGCTAAAGGGGCAAGAGGTGTAAAAGATGAAAAGCAAAATGTGGCTTTTTGGGAGCTGGAAAGGGCTCCGTGGGGTGATAGCAGCACCTCAGGGAGGTGCAAAGGTTGAACCCATCTGAACAAGTTTGAATAAACGAGCATATCTGAGAGACTATTTAAGAAAGTGGTATAAAACACTCACAGATTAGAGAAGGAGGAGGAGGACAAGCACCAGAGGGGTTGGGTTGATTCTAAGGACCCTCATACTATGCATGTCATCTGAGATTTTGTTTACAGACTTCATGTGTGTGTGCATGCGCGCAGGTGTACAATGTCCACTACAGCATGAGCATCAATGGCAAAGTGGAGGAGGGTTCAGTGGAGATCGACACAACCAATAACATGGAGCGGTTCAGCACAGGCAGCGGAGAGGACGAGGCGGTGGAGGTCCACGACTTTGAGATTGTGAGTTCGATCGAAAGTAATTGGAAAATATCATCACGAGGCTGCTGTGAGCGTCAGAGTCGGAGTCAATCAGATTGGGTGAAACATTAAAGGCCCTCAAGGAGAGATGGGCTCATTACCCCCGTGGAGAAATTAAGACCAAGTAGCAACGTATCCCCTCAGGAACAATCAGTGTCAAGATGCCACCGTTCCTCTAATTTCCATCGCATTCAGACTGGTGTTTTTTGACCTTTAATTAAAGTACCCCAATCAGGCCAATCAGAGTAGTGAAGCAGCAATTTTAAAGCCTATAACTATTTAAATTTTGACCTTTTTTCAGTGTCCCTTTGCTTGTTTGACTTTTCGTTTCAGCTTGTGCATACATGCATAAACTCTCGGAATTCGTTCAGAATAATAAAGATATTAAATGTGACATTATTGGCAAAGAGACTAATAAAACATACACTAAAAAAACAGATGTAGTGGATCTAATAAAAAAACGATGTTGACTGTTTCCACTCAATCGAACTGAGTAAAAGTAGAGTGGCTCACAAAAGTATTCATACCCCTGAGTCAATACTTTGTCGAGCCACCTTTTGCTGCAATTACAGCTGCAAGTCTTTTAGGGTATGTCTCCAACAGTTGTGCACACCTACTGCCCATTCTTCTTTGCTAAACAACTCAAGCTCTGTCAGATTAGATGGAGAGTGTTTGTGAACAGCAGTTTTCAGATCTTGCCACAAATTCTTGATTGGGTTTAGGTCTGGACTTTGACATGTTTTGTTTTAAACCATTCCATTGTAGCCCTGGCTTTATGTTCAGGGTCATTGTCCTGCTGGAAGGTGAACCTCCATCCCAGTCTTAAGTCTTTTGCAGACTCCAACAGGTTTTCTTCCAAGATTGGCCTGTATTTGACTCGATCCACCTTCCCATCAACTCAGACCATCTTCCCTGTCCCTGCTGAAGAGAAGCACCCCAGAGCATGATGCTGCCACCACCATATTTGACAGTGGGGATGGGGTGTTCACAGTGATGTGCAGTGTTAATTCTCCACCCAGCGTTTTGCATTTTGGCCAGAAAGTTCAATTTTGGTTTCATCTGACTATTATTTCTCATGTTTGTGGTGTCCCCAACATAGCTTCTGAAAAACTGCAAACAGGACCTTTTATGGTTTTCTTTTAACAGTGGCTTGCTTCTTGCCACTCTTCCATAAAGACCACATTTGTGTAGTGCACGACTAATTGTTGTCCTGTGGACAGTTTCCCCCACCTGAGCTGTGGCTCTCTGCATTTCATCCAGAGTCTCCATGATTCTCTTGGCTGCATCTCTGATCTGTGCTCTCCTTGTTTGGCCTGTAAGTTTAGGTGGACAGTTTTGTCTTGGTAGCTTAACAGTTGTGCCACACTCTTTCCATTTCCAGATGATGGATTGAACAGTGCTCCGTTTGGGAAATCTTTTTATAGCCTAAGTCTGCTCTAAACTTCTCCACAACCTTATATCTGACCTGTCTAGTGTGTTCTTTGGACTTAATGCTGCTGTTTGCTCCCCAACATTCTCTTAACCTCTGAGGCCGTCACGGAGCAGCTGTATTTGTACTGAGATTAGATTACACACAGGTGGACTCTATTTATTTGTCATCAGGCTACTTCTGGATGCAACTGGTTGCACCAGAGAAAAGGGGGCTGAATACTTTTGCACACCACATCTTTCACTTTTTTATTTGTAAAAAATGTTTTGAATCATGTATAATTTTCTTTCCATTTCTTAATTGTATACCACTTTGTGTTGGTCTTTCACATTAAATTCTAATGGAATATATTTATGTTTGTGGTAATGTGACAAAATATGGAAAGGTTCAAGGGGTATGAATACTTTTACAAGCCACTTTACTTTACATTTACTTAAAGTCATTTTAAAGTAAACATGTTACCTTTACTCATTTCAGTTAAGTGGAAACAATTGACACATTTTTTAAAATTAAATTCATTATATGTCTATTTTGAGTGTAGTTCATAAGTTTGCTGACCCTTTTTTCTGACTTTTTTTCAGGGGATCACAGGCATCCGGTTTTCAGGAGGAGAGAAGTGTTACATTAAGACACAGGTGAAGGCTCAGCTGCCTGATGTGGAAACTCTCAATAAGGAGTCAATGACATTTGATCTGGTGAGTTGATTGTCTTTGTTGTAATGAGAACACGTCACATGCCTGCTAATATCTTGTACCTGCCTAATCCAGAGACAAAGTCAACAAAAGCTGCAGGTTAGTTTTGGTATTTCTGCTTAGTGAAAAAAAAAATTAAGTTACAGTATGAGGAGGAGTACTCCTGAAGCAGCTGACAGGTACAGGGTGGCCAGAAGGGTCGTGGCTTCAGAGGTTGCAGATGCAAAAACTCTGGCATGAGAGGAANGGGGGGGGGGACATAGAGAAGGACATTTGATTGGCCACGAGGAGGTTCTGGCAAACCATTCAGAAAAAGAAAGTGTTCCCTGTCCCAGGCTGTACTTAGTTTGGGTGGGGTACTGCGGACTCTGAGGATATCGTTGGGCAGTGGAAGGAACACTTTGAAGATCTCCTCAGTCCACCCTCCATGTCCATCTTTGAGGAGGCAGAGTCTGAAGACTCGAAGGAAGACGAGTCCATTACCATGAAAGAGGTCACTGAGTTAGTTAAAAGCTCCTTGGTGGCAGGCCACCAGGGGTAGATGAGATTCACTTCAAGATGCTGAAGGCTCTGGATGTTGTGGGGCTGTCATGTTTGATACGTCTCTTCAACATCGCATGGAGGACTGGGACAACTCCTGTGGAGTGGCAGACCAGGGTGGTGGTTCCCATTTTTAAAAAGGGGGACTGGAGAGTGTGTTCTAACTATTGTGGGATCACACTTCTCGTCCTCCCCTGGAAGTTTACTCCAGGGTGTTGGAAGGGAGGCTCTGATCGATTGATGAACTTCTGACTCAAGAGGCGCAACATGGTTTCAGTCCTGGTCCTGGGACAGTGGAACAGATTTTCACACTTGCAGAGTTGCTAAGGGGGTTGTGGGAGTTTGCCTCTCCAGTTATGTGTTTTGTTGACCCAGAGAAGGCTTATGACCGTTTCCGTACGGAGTATCTAGATTGCTATTAGGGGCGATCCAGTCCCTGTAGAACCAAAGCAGGTGCTGTGTTCACATTCTTGGTACAAAGTCGAGCTTGTTCTCAGTGTGTGTTGGATTCCACCAGGGCTGTCCCTTGTCTCTGATCCTGTTTGTAGTGTTTATGGACAGGATCTCAAGGCACAGTCGTGGAGAGTTGGGTGTTTGGTTTGGAAACCACAGAGTCTCATCTCTGCTGTATGCAGATGATGTGGCTCTGTTGGCGTCTTCAGGCAAAGACCTTCAGCGTGCACTGGGGTGGTTCACAGCTGAGTGTGAAGCAGCTGGGATGAGAGCCAGTTCCTCTAAGTCTGAGGCCATGGTTCTCAACTGGAAATGAATGAATGCCCCCTCCGAGTCGGGGGAGAGTCTCTGCCTCAGGTGGAGTTTAAGTATCTGGGTGTCTTGTTCACAAGTGATGGTAGGATGGAGCGGGTGATGGATCGACAGACTGGGGCCTCATCTTCAGTGGTGAGGATGTTGCTTTGGTTGGAAAGAGATGAGTCAAAAGGCAAAGCTCTCGATTTACTGGTCGGTCCAACCCTCACCTATAGTCATGAGGCGTGGATCATGACTGAAAGAATGAGATCCCAGGTACAAGCAGCCAAAATAAGCTTCCTCTGTAGGGTGGCAGGGCTCAGTCTCAGAGATAGGGTGAGAACTTCTGCTATTCGGGGGGAGCTTGGAGTAGAGCCGCTGCTCTTCCACATCAAAACGAGTCAGTTGAGGTGGTTCATCTGATTAGGATGCCTCCTGGAAACCTCCCTTTAGAAGTGTTCTGGGCACATCCCACTGGTAGGAGGACCTGGGAAAGACACAGGACTCTCTGGAGGGATTATACATCCTCTCTGGCCTTGGAACACCTCAGGGTCCCCCATGATGGGCTGGAAAGTGTCGCTGGGGAGAGGGATGTCTGGGTTTCCCTCCTGGATCTGTTGCCTCCGCAACCGACTTTGGATAAGCATCATAAAATGGAGAAGTTATAAGTATGAGTTACAAGTTAGAGAAATCTATTGTTATTAACGTGTATTTCCTGGTTATTCAACGCAACATTTATCAAATCTTAATGATTGACAGAGTTTTAATCCTGAGGCTGTGGGTCTGAACCCAATATCCTCCAATGTCCTGATAACTAGAGAACCTTAAGAAAAGAAACATTTTGCATGAACTTGTTTCAAAACACAATTTCAAAACTATAGATCAAGTTGCCAGTTTAGACACAAAAGCATTATTATTTAAAGTTATCAAACTAAACTGTCACATATTATTGCTAATATGTGCTGAAGTCACCAAGCAGATGAGCGATTAGAAACACACAAAGGATTATCATGTGTGTTCAAATGTGACAGATTGGTGGAGAACACACACACACACACACACACACACACACACACACACACACACACACACACACACACACA